ACATCAAAATGAACATATTCAAGAACTGTCTTGAAACTATGAACGTCAGTTCCAAAAGCACGTCGAGTGTACTTTTCAAATACACAGTACTCACAGGATTCAAGCTTGCAAGACCTCAAGCTAGGTAATAAATTCTGTTTGTGTAAGATATTCATACCTTTTTCACTCATGTGACCAAGACGAGCATGCCACAATCTAGTCTCATACTCCAATGACGTCGTAGCATTGGCCTCACAAAGAATTGTAGATCCTTCCAAGATGTACAGATTCTTCCGCTTGTGAGCTTTCATTATCAGGTGGAACCTCTCTCAACTGTGAGAATTCCATCAACAGCTTTTCAATGAAAGCCTCTCATGTCAACCTCCCCGAGTGAAATCAAATTCTTACGCGTAATGGGAATGTATCTAACATTCGTCAATGTTAGAGTTTTACCATCAAACATCTGAATCCTAATGGATCCAATACCCTCAATCTTACAGGAGTGATCATTTCCCATTAAGACTAAACCTTGAGATGCTGCGTAAGTTGTAAAAAATTCTCGGATAAAACACATGTGATAAAAGCAAGCGGAGTCTAAAATCCATTCATCTCTCCCGATGAGGGAAGAGGTTCACAAGACATAGCCTTCATCATTGTTGATCACAACATTTGCAAAGGTACCAACATATTCCTCTCTCTTCTCATGTGGCTTATTACGACAATACTTTTTCAAATGGCCCAGTTTGCCACACTTCCAACACTTCATCTCCTTCTTGTTCCCTTCCCTTGACTTGGATCGATTTCGCGACTTGCTGACGCTAGTAGATCGCTTCTTTAATCTTCCATGAGTGACATAGAGAGCGCTAGAAGAAGAAGAAGAAGGTGTTGAAGAAGAAACCAACTTATGTTGGATGTCGTCCGTCAACAAAGCTGTCACTACCTCGTAGTATGTGTTGCTCTATTTGTCTTGATGAAGCAACACACGAGATAGAGTGTGATATGATGATGGCAAGGAACTTAAAAGTTGCAATGTCTTTTTCTCATCACTTAAATACTCACCCAAATTCAAAAGATCCACCAACAAATCATTGAAAGCATCAATGTGGTCTTGGATCTTTGTACCTTCCATGATTTTGAAGCTCATCAGCTTTAACGATGTGAAAAGTCGATTTGACAACTCCTTCATGTGATACTTCGCTTGAAGCGCTTGAAACATAGTTGTCACAGTTTCCAAATCATCCACTTGTTTCAACACATTTGGCTTCAAGTAGAGAGTCACAATACTCAGAGTTTGATCTTGGATCTCATTCCAATCCTTGTCATCAACATTCAGGGGTTTAGGCTTGAGAACCTTCCCCAAGCCCATTGCCTTGAACACATTCTTGACTTGCCGTTCCCATAGAAGATAGTCGGTACGGCCATCAAACCGTTCAACTTCAAACCTCGGTCCACCAACCTTAGATAGCGCCATAGGTTTGATCGGCTGAAGACGTTCCCAAATGACTTGAACGGGACCTTCAGAGAGAAAGCTTGACTCCTCACTTTTGTCGTCTCAATGCAGGGTTCCAGCACCTTCAGCAACAATTGGAACAAGTTCCACTCCTTGCTCCAAGGTACTCATGCCCATAAAGCTCTCACTGTGTTAACCATTCTCAACACTTAGCCCCAAAAAACATCAAAAATTGAAAGTTCTTAGAATTGAAATCTGAGACCACTCACGCGTAGCCCACAAGCGAACACACTAGATAGTGAAAACGGTTTGTCAAAATCAACTCCAAATAAAAAGTTATTAACCCCCGAGTTTAGGGGGTAAAAACTTGAATATAGACCTCCCAAGGGAATCTTTCATACCAAAACTTTACTCAAAGTCTATTTCAAAAACCGTCTTTTAGACTACGTGCTCAACTAGCTTGAGAACCACCCCGTAATATTTGAGCTCAAATGGATATCATTTGCATACCCTAATCTATCAAAAATGCCAAAAAACAGAGTTGATTTTTGGCAGGATTCCTCACAGCTCTTTGTGCAGCTTTATTGGACGTTTCGTCTTCCAACCCAACTATTTTGGGTACCTTCCGACCCCACTATCTTGGATCCACTTCCAACAATCTTGGAGCCCAATTAAATTCCTCCAAAACTACTACAATGTGAAATCAGACTAGAAGGAATTGACCTAAATCTTCAATCACTTGTAACTTCGCGACCTCCCATCGGAATTCAACAAAGTTTAGGTCAAAATGATCGTCTCAAACAATAAATCAATCATATCTGTGAAGATTTGGAAAATTCGATAACCAAAAATTCAGATTTTGGAAAAACAAGGCGGTTTCTCTCATAGTATAATGTAAGAGAGCTTTCCACTTCAATTTCCAAAAAATCTCTCTAATCACTCGATGAAACTTTCTACTTCTTTCATCAAAGTGAAATTGATGCCTCTGAGTACTCTTCTACAGAGAATCAACCAACAATATTTCTCAAATTGCAAGTACAATCTCCGACAACGCTTTCGCGTCTCCTTGCTTTCCAAAAATATGGAAATCACAGTCACAACACCGGAATAACGTGGTTTACTTTTCACAAGCTACATCCAGGGGCAAGAGCAGAACCTCACTAAAGCACAGATGATTACACGGCCTCCATAGCCAAGCGCTACTCGAACCTGTTCACTCTCTTGATGTTATCCTGAACTGTACGCAAAGAGAGTCACCTTCTCTCTTTTATACGAAAAGAGATAAGGTGCACATGATACATAACCTAACCACAGTTAACTTTCTAACCATGGTTACCACGAACTGGAGTTAATTCAAGATAGAGTTAACCTAAAATATGATAATATTTGAAAATTTGAGTACATATATATTTTTTTAAAGTAGTTCAATATGTAACCATACGCTTTAAAGATAAACAATAATGTTTCATAAAAAAGTATAAGTTTTACTTATATAATATTTTTAATATTTTAATATAATCAATGATACTTTTATGATGATGATTCAAATGATATTCAATAAACTAAACCGACTTGAAGTAAAATTATCAAGACATATTACATAAAATGTAGAAAGCAAATTTAAAATTAATCACAATCAAAGAATACAGATTATTCACAATTCATTTTTTTCCTGACATATGAGTAAATTATTTAATTTCTTATAATATAAAGTAGCAAGTTTATTACAAAATTTCAATATCAAACCATTAACTATATACTTAAAGTGTCAATAGTCTAGAAATCAACATCTTGATAGAGTAAACTCATCATATCATAAGTGATATTACATGCCATCAAATTAAGTGATAAGAAATGAATGTTTAATATGGACATGAAGTCACAAGAATGCATATGAAAATTGCAAACATTACAACTCACTCTAAAATATTATCTCAATAAAACAAGTATAAAATGATTATTGATGTTTCAATAATATTATTATTATTTGAAAATTAAAAAAATTTAATCAATATCATATGTATGGGAAATGACATTTAACTATATGAGCTAGAAAAATTGAGAAATAAATGTATCTTCTTGGCGTGAAAATTTAGAGAAGTATATGATGTATATTTTGTGTGGTTATCTCAATATATCAAATCATAATTTTTATGTTGTTTCAAACAGTAAAAATGGGGAACTCATCCATATAAATGGGAATCGTTGTTCCAAGTAATGGAACAACGATTCTCATATATATGGATGTTAGCATTTAACCTAGAATCACAAACACTTAAAGAGGATAATCAATGGATGATGACTCATCATTGATGAGTCAAGATGAGTCGACACATTATTGTAAAGAGTTTCACCACAAAAGGCTATGTTCACGGGAAAAGTTAGGCGTGAGAGTGTGTATTAACAAGTCACTTGTAATATACAAACCCATAGTGTTAAATATCCCAGGGCTGGCAAACCTTTCACTATTTATAGCTAGAGTGTCGCTGGGCTTTGTAGCTAAGACCTGAGGTTCTCTTGTTAAGGAGCAAACTCAGGTACTACAGGAGTTAACCTCAACAATGGGACATATAAACTTTGACCAGTTTCATATCTAAAAAATAAGAGGAATCTGAAAGGAGGCTAATCAGCAGACGATCATAAGGACCAAATCCTCGTATCGTACCTGGATCTGTCTGCAATCCGGTGTATCAATGTAAATCAATTCCTGCACAGCATGATTTACACATGCTGGTAACAATTTGTAAATTAATGCGGGAGCGTCTAGTTATCCCTCGGTTACTAATTAGCTCTCACTCTACTCCAGGCTCTTTTCTGATGGGTACATGCAGGGTTCTTGGGATGAATAAAGCCTACTTAAAACAAGGTGTTCGATTAATCAGAGGAGAGTTTATACAAGGGTGAGGGCTGATTAACCCTAAGTGAGGGATAACTAGCACTCCCGATTAATGCAGCCACTTTAAACTTTACTACAGAGAAGAAATTTGTCCGTATAAGATATTTTGCGAGAGCTGGACCAAGACGGTAAGAGATCCAATTCAACGGGGGGGGGGGGGGTTGACAAATCCGGGGAAATAATCCCACTCAGAGACTGCGTCATCGGGACCGATTCGAGGGCGATACGATTGAATACCTACAACAAGTCGCTCCAGCCGAATCGAAATTGCCGCAGAATGCAGATCAATCCAACAATCAAAACGAGTGCATCGCTTGAAGTCGACAACACCTGCAAGTACCACAGCAGAACTGTTTTTATTCTCGCCTCATAAAGAAGGGGCTGTAACGGTCTACGCCTGTCGTCTAGTCCAAGCAATTTCACTTATATATTTCTCATTCACGAAGAAGATCGAGCGAGCATGAAGAAACTTTTGTCCAATGGCAATTATACTTTTCAGCACTTTCCACCAATTCAAGCATAAATAACCATTAAAGAAGTCGGGCACCCCGATGTGCCTCTAATTGTTAAAACACGGGCCACTCCAAGCAAGTAACAGATAAGGAGCGCGGACTGTAGCGCGTAGTCAAATGGTGGGCGATGCTCTACATCGTCCCCTCATGACCCCTCTCCCGACCTCACTGTCTAGACCGTCGAGCTCGAGAAGCTATGGACGCTGATGACGCACTCCGTATATAGTCTTTGCGCCACTGGTGTGTGGCTGTCAGTTCACTCGCTCCACGACGAGCCGCTGTCTAAATTCGGTCTTGTTGGTTCTGCTGCCGATAAACAGTCCCGAGCAATTTGGTGCTATTCGATTCATGCGAGTCTCGGAGCCTCGGTGTTGTAGGAGCCGCTTGTGCGCACTACTACTGCGACAGGAGCAGCAGTAGTGCGCATGGCGGGCGAGGATGGCATGGATTCATGGAGCGCAGGGGATGGTCAGTCTACGGTGTTTGGAGGTAGGGAGGCAGGGAGGCAGGGAGACATAGCCGAAGCTTGGGAGATCGACGTGGGTGTCTAGTTCTTAGGTTGGGGGCTTTTTGGGTCTCCAAGTGTTGGTCTTGATGTTGTTGTTGGGTCGGCCGGGGACGGGGAGGGTGTGCTTGTTGATCAGATTCAGACTTGCCATATCATTCTGTCATTTGGAACTCGGAGAGCATGCGTTTCTCATGGTGGAGGTTTTGAGCCGCTGTCCTATTCAAAATTAGAAGTGGGCAGTTGGGCCCGACACGCCTGCGATAGTCTGGCTACTTTGGGATACTTTTGGAGGGAGGGAGAGATTTGGCTGATTTTATCGAGGAGAATAGTGCAGGCAGGCGAGGGGAGATGGATATATTTGCTGCTGGAGCTCTGTATGGTTCCTCCGCGTTGATGCATTGCCGCGTCGAGGCAGCGACGTACGAAGGAAATGAGAACAGAGAGGTGTAAATATTACTTTTACCGCCGCAGCTTCTTCTTCTTCTTCTTCTAATCATGATGATAGCGCTGGACCAAGGACACGTGCGTTGCGTCCTGGGCAGTTGTTCCTTCTCTCTTCCTGGATGCAATGAACGATGATGACGCTTCTGGCGAGGGGGAGAGAATAGTGTCCTTCCCAGAATTAGAAGGACAAATTTGACCAGTCGTCTTCTCGGTTCATGCGACACACGGGTACAGAAGTCCACGTAGCTCCACCCAAGGTGGGGGATTTTTACTCCCCGGGTCGGGCATTTGGAGGGAAGGAGAGGGGGCCTGCTTAAATGAACCCCCGATGCAGTGACGTCGGTGGATGTGGACATCGTCCAACAGAGTGTACCGGCGGGAGAAGATAATGCAGATTAAAGCAAGCAGCAGCTCGATTCCATGCCATGGCGTTTCCTCCCGCATCATCGAACACTGAATCACCGATCACAAGTGAAGCAAAGAACTCGAAGCTAGTACCATTGTCCGCAGTACGAGTCAGAACGATCGAGGCTCCTCCCTCCCTCCCTCCTGAAACAAACACAACAACCCGACCATTTCTGTTGACGGCCAATTTACCCGGAAGTTCTTGGTCTCGGACTCTCGGGGAATCACGGAACGTCGAGCGAGCAAGCGGGTTTGGGAAGGGCAGCCTGTCGAAGTCCGAGAGGGAGATTCGAGACTTGAGAGGAGCGCGCGACTGCAACCCGGGGATGCCACGTGTCCATAATTGAGGGAGGCCGGCGTGTTTTCAGGACAGAACGTAAGGAATCAGTGTCTATGACGAAGATACGGCCACCTGGCACATAGCGGAAGGCGTCTGTGAAATAACATCAAAGTCCAAGTTACTGACTTGCGGTATGTTCACCGGGGGCGGTGGGTGGTCACAAGTGTCGGCAGATCGGCCCGATGGAGAGATTGGATGGGAACCGGGCTTGGCAGACATACGTATCCAGCCTGTACGGTAACATGGATCAGGATGATGCCAAATCAAAATCCGCTGACAGAAATTTTATGAGCCGGAGAGATTTAACGTCCTCCGATCTTTGAGGCTACGTAGTAGTCAGGAGGCCGAGTAGTAAACGAAGGATAAATACGTCGTAGTCTTTTCTAACCGTGACAACACCAACTGCATCTGGTGGGTTCGGTATGGTGCGTTCCATCACACATCAAAGCACATCTTTTCCATGCAGCTCGGATGAGCTCAGCTGGGCTGCATTGGCTAATATGCATCAGGTGTGAATTGTGCTCAGGGCGCCAGTCTCAGGGTCCAGTGCAGACATGGACATGTATTCTCACATGCGCGTACGCTGCAAATTTAGATGTCGGGTGGAGAGGGAAAGGTTGGAGGAATATGTGGTTCTTGTAACCTTGTTAGGCAGCAGATTAAGACAAGGATGGGAAATGTTCTGTCGAGCATGAACCGTGAGTCAGCTGCAAGTATCTGCGACCTGACAAGTTCCAACTGAAAGCGAAGTTTTTCCAGCTCTGAATTATCTGGTGTGCCAGGGCAGGGGCGCTTTTGAGAGCGTCCTCTGCTGAGTTGTGAAAGTCGAGATGGACGGAATATGGTGAACAACCTGCTTCATGGACGCGGGGGCTTGGACACCAAATCAAGCTATTTCATCAACAGCAGATGCTCTCGCAACCAGCTGGGGCCGCTCTCATTCCTGGGCTTGCGTCGTTTTCTTTTGCTACTTGTCAGTCTTCCTGCTCGATACTCTTCCTCGCCATTGCTTAAAGTGCAAGTAGGTTCTCCTGTTGCTTTCCTCCACATACCCTCCAAACAACCTCGGCCAACTTTCTATCACCATGCGCTGTCCAGGATAGTCCGACACCTCTGTACCTAGCGAATTACACGACGCAATTTGACATGCGCGAAGTCACTACCTAAATTATATGTGTCACCTTATGACATGCTTCAAACTCACTCACTTATCATTGAAAAAGGCTTAGGGTGGTGAGGCATCTTTCTGAAATGTCAGGTGAGTGAATATTAAAAACAGGTTAGAATATCCCAGCGATTTTACAGCCAATTCACAATATACGCGACACAGGCATATACAAGGACTTATGTCCAAATCGGAAAACTTTTGCCTAATTTAACCTAAACCTTTAAGGCGAAGCTCTTTAACATCCGAACATGGTCGGTGATTGTCCTTATTGTGAAATTCTCTTTACCATCAGATGAAAATTGATTCTATCGACTGCTACTCCAACATCGGCCAAATTCATATCGACACTACAATATAGATTAATGGTGGATCGTAAATCGTAGTCCCTATGTCACGGGCAGCGTCGCCGTAGTACTCTCTGAAAGTGTCTGTTTCAACTGCTTCTTAATGTAGGGCCTCTAAGAGTATCAAGCAGCGACGAGCAAACATTCTGAAGCCGATGCTGCTTCGGCCACCAAAGCCACTGGGAGTCTACCTTGCAGGAACAGCGCAATATTCAAAGGCATCAACTTTTGCCCATCAAAAATCAGATTTACCCCTGGCAGTGGCACATCGCTGCTATCACCATCCTCCCAAATGTCCAACTTCGTATCGACGTTGCTGGGAATATCAATCTCTGGCTCTTCAACGTAACGCCGGGCAGGTTCATAGACCGGGGGCAGAGGGGATCTGTAGAACAACAGATCATGTTATCAATGTTTTGTTAGATTCAATCATGTATCACGCAGAGAGCCAACAGTGTTTTCTATACACCGTTTCCCCGGAGACCAAGCTCAACGAATGATACACAGAGAACATGACCGAGTACCTCAAACCTGAAGTGTACAAAAGTATAATTCACCTGGTGGGGTCACCGACGAAACTGACAACCTCAGATCGTCTTCTGGTGCTTAACTGTGGGGAAAGGGTTTCTGAGCCCGAAGAAAAGTTCGGAGATGTCACAGGGTCGAACATGAAATCCGATGCGCTCCACTTGGAGCTCGCAAGACTCCTCAGAAGCGGTCGCTCACCAGGTTTGAACTGGCCGCCGGGATAGGTCAATTTGGAAATGGGACCATTAGCCTGATGGTCAGAAATAAACTCTTGCAATTTTCGCCGCAATTTTAGCATAGCCTCCCGATGTATGGACAATGCGGGGCTCTGAAATAACTCGGCGTGAACTACTCCTTCGCACACCAGCTTGCAAAGTTGGGTGTCGAAGAGTGGTAGTCCAAATTCGACGCTTTGGGGAACCCATTCCCAAGAAACCTCACGTTGAGCTAAACCCAAGTCTTTTCGAATTCTTACCATGCGAATAAAACCGGCCGTCTCCAGGTTTAATTCCTCAGCTGCTCTGGCCAGGGAGCTAGAGAGCTGATTCCTTTCGAAAGTTTCATCTATACTTTCGCCCTCCAATCCGGCGCTCGAAGTGCTAAGCTCGGATAATGGTAGGGGAATGTTTTTGGTCATTACGTTCCCGGTTCCCTTGGCATCTAGAGAGGCCTCCGTAAAGGGTTGCACCAAAACTGCCGAGTATTTTAAAAGAGAGTTCAGACAATGTAGCAGGACACCACCCTCGACCAGAGATCCTTCAAACCTCCCCCCCAATCCACTTACTCCGACTCCATCCCAAGCCCACAGTAGCGCCTTGCTGCAGCCTGCCAGAGGAGGTGGGAGGAGTCTTAACCTTTGACCCTTGATAAGAGCTATGGAGACTGGGCCTGAAGCAGCTACTGAGTATAAAAGGAGTTTCATCCATGGTGTAATAGCAGCCCGACTAGGTGGACCAAAGTGAACTGGGCCCACGCCATCAGGAGAAACTACTGATGGTGGAGAGAGAAGGGGAATCATCGAGACCAGCACATGATAGTCTCGACGCAAAACCCGCTGAATAGTGCCTGACGCAAGACCCTGCAAGCTCTCCACGCGTAATACATCCACACGACACTTCCGTCCTGACTTTCTATGACGAGATTTGACGCGACCTAAACCCTCGATGGTAGACGTCGAGCTTGTCATTTGAATTGTATCAGAAGCATGGTCAACTGAATCAGCCCTGTCATGGTGCTCGTCTCCTGCAACACTTTCCGTTTCTTGTTGAGAGCTCTCATCTCGGTATGCATTGAAGGCGATGTCGTGGGAATCAGGTGACTTGCTGGTCTCATTGTAAATTTCCGGTGAACTAGAAGGTCTACTCAGCTCGGGTGAACTGGCCTGACTGATGGCACTAGGTTCAAGCTGAAAGTCAGCTAAATCTGCCCCCGACTTTTCCGGTGATTCAAAGTCTGTTTCAGCTTCAGCTAGATCGTGCCCTCCGGGTCCAGCTCCTCCAGATCTAAGACATTCCAATGCGTGTCTAAGACTGAAGGCATGGTCAGCAAGCTGCTGCAATTCGCCTTCGAATTTCTTACCCTCAACCTGACGCAAGTCTTCGCACATTTCTGCCACACTGGAATCTCCTAGTTTGCCAGCTTCGTACAAAGTTACGGCATGGCCCTTCAAACCTAAAAAACATACCAAGGTACAACTCAGAACATTGAACTAAAGAAGACTACACTTAAAGCAATAGCTCGATCTTGAACTTTATGAATAAGATAACAAACAGAAAAAGAAGCACGAGATGAGGTTACAAATGACCTGGTGAGAGAGAGCCCATCATGAGATAAGACGTTAAGTTAGCATCCACCATGAGAGCAAATCGAGTAACTCCTGACTGAGGTCGCATGATGTCCCCATCGGCTTCGGACAGACCTTCTTGGAATGGACTGGCTGGTACAGACCTCGTATTGCCAAACCCATCGTCAGCAACACTACCCTCAATGTTCGGAGATCCGGGTAAATGAAGGTCATTCAACAAGGCTGCAGGATCCATAACCTTCTTAGCCCATCCAAGACGAGAGGCTAAAGAAACAGCAGCTTCCAATTGTGACAGGTCAGCCTGCAATGTCTGTGCCAGATCGGCTACTGTTGCTTGCTCACTCAAGGCAACAAAAACAGCATAGAGGAGTCTGGCAGCGATCAACACAACGTTGAGGTTAGTGTTTACAAATCTTGCAATAATATCCAGCAAGGTCCAGCGGCCCGGATGGTCTGAATTAAATTGCACGTTGACAAATTTTCAAAAGATGAGTACGGTGAGACGAACAGATCAGTAAACAACATAGAGAATTTCGAAAATTTTGGGTCTCATGACAGCTTAACTGCTACCCTTGGTTTTGTATGAAAGGAAAAGAAGACATACTCTTCGGTGGGATCTTCGTATGATTGTTCGCGATTTGAAACAAAACCATCCAGTGTTGAAACTGCAAATGGAACACCCCGCAATTCAGCCAGCCTAGCGGTATGATTAGCCACGATGAAGTTTTTAGTCTGGTCTAGCCATTGAAGGTTTGAGGTGGGGTTCTAAGCTTTGATGATAACTGGAGCACAGGATTTTCACTGCCCACTCAAAGGTCTCCGACTTCCACTTTCTTATTCAAACCAATTAGCAACTATACGACCTGACTTGAAAACAACCACAGAAGTAGCCGGCCTTTTCTGAGTTCAAAGCTTTTGTTTTCAGCGAAGCCTTCAACATGCACACAATTCTTGTGACTTGAGAGGCCCTCCACCCTTCAAAATACTTCACGTATGACCTTGCTGGAGGGGTCAGTCAGAAAAAATTGCAATAACGACACATATACTGCGCGAAAGAAACATCTGTCGTGTATCAAACCAAGATACGCGACATTCATAAGTACTGCGACAGACATTGACAGATATTTGCATGAAGCCAAATAAGCTTTACAACTCATCACGTGCAGTAAGAGCTACGAAGAGCAGAGAGAGAGAGAGAGACAGGCTTATAATAGGCAATTGACCGACACAGTGAGGGCCATGACCACTATTCTGAACAACTGAACGGAAGGACATAACCTGTCCTTCCAAACATTCTCACAATCAGCACATATTTCGACAATTATGAAACACTGACCTTGAAAATGATCATCAGGGTAAACAGGAACCTCCAACCAAACAAGACCTCGACGATAGAGACCACGAACGACGTCCAAATCTAATTCTCCCACACAGTTTACCTCCTCCTTGCCCACTTTGTCAATTACCACCATCTCGTCATCTGTAAGTCTCTGTCCAAGCACTTACAAATCAGCAACAAGATCCCAAAAAACTTGGCGTTACCGCAAACCAAAATAAGAAATATTTGTTTTACGTAATTTGGTTTGATACAATGTAACGAGATAGATGTATTACAAAGGGAACAACTTTTTCGATGTTTAGGTCTCAAATGATGAGTTAGTCTAGAATCAAAAAAGAACAACATTATAGGATGGAACAAATGCACAAATATTGCACATTCCGTTGTAGTCTAGCTGTTCAGGATACTCGGGTTCAAATCCCGGAAACGGATCAAAGCATTGTGCTACTTTAACAGAATCTTGACAAAGAAAATTGTCAAGATTCCGTTAAGTAGCACAATGCTTATTTTAAAAAAAATTATATTTGAATCAGACGGTTGAAAAACGACTATTTAACATAGGACATGAAACAGCAGTTGAAGTAACGGATATGTAAAGTTGGCCAATGGTTTTAACAAAAAAATTGTATTGGAATAATCGTTGAAAATGACTATGTAAGATTGGTCGATGCTTATTTATTAAAGTTGTACTTGAAACAACCCTTTAAATAACGGCTATGATCACCACAAATCTAACGGCTATCTAAATTCTACTTGATACAGTCGTTGAAATAACACAGCCAGATGAGTTTCCCAATCACCTGCCTTTGTTATTAGTTGTTAACAACATATTTAGTGAGGCATTTATAAAAGGTCCACACAAGTTTTGCATTCTACTCATGTCCAGTGAGTCCCGATAAATAGGCTCAGGTTATTTTTTCATTCTTACCCGATATTCTTCGATGGATAAGTTGACGATGCTGACGGCCCACCATGGTTCGATCGGAAAGTCTACAGGGTTATTCGGAAGCATGTCTTTAGCTATAGATTTGTTGAGCTTCCACATGAGCTTCTGCAGTTAGGAGTAACAGCGTGAGGACCGAGAAAGAAGTAAACCTGGATGTGACGACCATTCCAGTATAAATAACTAAGACACACTAGTGGTGACACACTTGTGGCCCATCAAGCTAGAAGAGCAACTTCAGGAGTACACGAGCTGCACGATTAAAGTGAACATTCTTATACTGAACTACTTTTGTTATAAAACAAAATCTCAATGGATGAATAAATCAAACAGATAATTATGGCAGGAACACTGTAGCATGATTTGCAAGATCCACAAAGTGATCAAGAGAACTGTTGAAAAGTTAGAAGAGGTACAGGTTCCATTTTTCATTTGAGAAAGCTTTCAGTACCTTGGCCCTACACTTATTCATAATATCGATGAACTCATTTCGTCCAATTCCAGTTAGCCGCAAGGCATCAGCGGCACTGAAGTTTGGAATTGAGTCATAGGGGCGTTCTGTAAACAGTAAGGGATCAGTAAACAAGCAATTTTCGGTTGTTTACAATGCAGTGAAGTAAAGTATTTAGACCACACACGAAAGCTGATACTCCAAAGCATGGAAAGCAGTAAGGAATCAGGAGAAAAGAGGAAGAAAGAAAGGAGAAACTACAAACAAAGTCTGGTAGAGGGAACTGAAGGGTACTGACCGTTCTTCATGACTTCGTAAATCATATCACAGTAATATCGGAAAGGAGTAATTCTCTGAATGCGGCAGATATTTTCTGCCAGGTGATATGGGAAGAGCTGCAGTCACCAGCGCAAGTATTTAGATATCTGACTCGTCAGGACTCTTAGAAAAATGACATGAAAACCTCAAGAAGCGACCCAAAAAAAATCCACCATGCCTAACTGCAGATTTATCAGACCCTACATACTAAGAATTGCCGTGTGCTTCAGCACCAAGGTAAGTTATGATATGGGAGTAGGTACAAAGAATATCCACTTTGTACAAATGACGACGATATCAACTGGCAATAGTGCAAACTCTGATATTTGCACGGTCTTCCAAGATTGTGTCCATTAACTAGAGGCACAGGCTAGTTAAAACGCGTCATTGACAATGTGTCTAACAAATAGGACGACATCTGGAAGGTTGGGGAGCCACACCGCAAGATTCTTACGTAGGTAGCGCATCAAGTCTTCATAGTACTCATTCTCCTTACAAGTAGTTCTGGCTGCGCAATCACTCCACTTGAATCTCTTCTTGATGCAATACTCCTTCACTCTGACCGACACAAACAATCCACGTAGTTCACGTAAGCTTTTAGTGAGGTGCTGACATACCAATGCTCAACAGTCCCATGGTAATACTCCGGTACTTTCAATAAAAGCTTCCATTTTTCGCATGAATTAGTTAGTTTGCATTACAATTGTGCTGTGCTTCTGCACTAATTTGCTTATGAGAAGCATGTATTCCAACGTTTAAAGAAACTCGTATCGGCTTCAATATCTCCTTTTGAACAATTAAATATTAGGAGAAGTTGAGAGACAACGTTGATAGATATACATTGGTACCTTCTTTGCCATTCCTCATTAGAAGACAAAAAAATCTTCAGTCTCTTCGGCAATTTCTCCCAGGTAGCTTCCTCCTGTATAGCTTTGATAATCATGTCCTCCTCCACGGTACTAGCAACTCGCTGCATCTTGGCTGCACCTTGAAAGCCCGCTTTAAATATATTTACAAAGAATTTGCGTGTTCTTCACCTGCGAATCAAGCATCAGATTTGTCAGACTACTTATGGTATCCTCAAGTACTGGTGATGGTGCAGGGGCGATGGATACGCTTTGGCAGATTGCAGGACATATCTTAAACTGGAGTTGGAGAGCCCTATAATGGGTAAAAGAGTGCGGCAAGCGAGTGATATCAATGCGTTGTAAGAGATGTGTGAATGATAACTGTCTATGTGAACGAAATGACTCACACGGAGGAACTCCTGTATTAACTTGCAAAAGGGATACAAGTTTCACACGACAGAACTAAACGTACTCATGGGAATTTGCCAAGCAGAGCCTGAAGGCCGTAGACCTACCTCCCTGGCTGAAAGGTGCTAATATAAAGACACTTGTACGGCATGACATCTTCTCTCTGCAGTTTCTCTAGTTTTCAACGAACTACGATAAACCTCAGTTTATGAAGTTCTTCGTACAACATTGACAAGAATGAGAGAAGAATACAGTTACTGAATCCTTTGTTCAGTAGATTTCAATTGCAACAGTCAACAGCCCAGCTAGTATTTGTGGCCATTATAATCTCAAGACCTTTCCTGTTGCATTTTCTTTCTTGATTCCATCCGTAATCAAGAAGAAATTTTCATGTCAAAAGTATGATCCCTCAATCTTCAAAATAAACCACAAGATCCACTGAAGACACACTTTACTTATCTCCTTGTCCTTATGTTCCATAATCAGTTCAGTCGAGTGCAACACAAGACAACTTAGTCCAAACTCGATATACTTCTAGATTCACAGATTTAAAGGTGTTCGGTTGATTATCCAAGGGTCTTGCTAGACAGTTGTCAAAACTCTGCTGCTTGAATGAAAATTGAACAGAATACTCCTATCATATTGGTGTTCCAGATGAACAAGGTGCAATTTACCATTCAAAGGTTCCGATCAAAGCCTTTATGATCTGATTCAGATACAAGATAATGAACCAACAAGAAGAAATTTTTGTTTCGGAAAAATTCAGCTACAATCTTTCCAGTGAATTTCAGGGCAACATGTACCGGAAAGAGACCCGAAAATACAACATTGGTTTCAATTTGGAGAAATCACAAAATTCACAGTTCTCTCTTCAAGCATCAGTCCTGGAAAATAAACTAGGAGACAAAGGCCCGGAATTCCAGGGGGATAAATTCTCGTAGCTATTACAGACGGCGAAATGAAAAGTGGGAAAAATGGATCTCAGAAACGCTATACGAGGAATAAGATACACGAAGAGTCCAATACGAGCAAGAGCAGGGTCCGTCAGCTCCAATCACTGCGCCAACTCCAACTCATAATACAGAAGTTGATTGTGGGAGATGAACACCAGATCAAGTCAGATTTTCGCCAGTGAGAATCTAGCCGCGAAATCAGAATATCTCGCACGAGAAAGACTCCATCAGAAAAAGCCCAAGCGATCCTTTCAACCCTGCCCTTCTTCACACGACAAAAGCAGAGATCAAACTCGCGCTCCGTCTCCACAGAGACCCAATGCTGCACATTATGCGCCTTCATGGAATGGATCACATCGCGTACCTCTTCGACTGAGCCTCAAGCGCGTTCGAATATTTGTTCGTGAAAATTGGTGCATCGACATTTGGTCTTCGTGTGGACAATCCAGTTGCAGTCCAGACTATCGACCTATACAGGCGCCCTGTCGTAAGTCGCATCTTCCTCCTTCCGTCCGATGGCGTTCTGCCGTACTCGTGTGTCCGTCCGGCCGGTCTCCTCAGTCCCGGTCCTTTGTCCGTGCACCTGCTGGTACGCCGATGATCACGGTACAGTACTGTATTGGGGCCAAAAGTCACACGATGGTGGACTCAAGATCGAATGAAATGAGTGGAGTCGTAGTCACGATGTGCTTGAAAAGTCATTCGCACCGTAGATTCACTAGAATATCGTCTTTTAAAGTCATTCTTGTGAGTCTTCCAAATCCAGGCCTAGTGCACACAGGAGAAGATAAGTCACGGCAACATAAATAACCCATTAAAACTGAAGAGGTGCCAAGTTAAATTGCAAAAAGGAAGGGTATACTATTTCAATGAACAGGAATGGAGAGGAAAATGTGCAGAATTTAAAGTACTTCAAGTCAAAGTACTTGAAGTAGAGAGTCAATTTCATATAAATTATATTTTACACAAGCTCGATTTTCTCATTTTTCATGCATAGTATGAATTGCTGGTATTGTGTAACTTGTGAAAGAAGTTAGTGAGTGAAGAAATCTTGTCTTCCTTTTGAAATTGACGTTAATAGTAAAATTGACATTCTCATTCAGTGTAGAATTTTGTTTGTCCTTCTAATACTCAACGTATTGTTTGCTTATACTAGGTTGTTAATATTAACTCAGTTCCTTTAAACTCCGGTAGGTAAGTCTTAAAATCCTAGTTACGGCTTAGGACTTTTTACTAGTTAGTAAGAATTTGATATCCACTATAGAGTAGAGCATGTCAAAACTCATCTTGAACATTGTTTGTACTACTTAAGTAAAGGCTTCAGATTTGTAGATGTAGCATGACAATGGCAACTTTTTAGAACTACTTAAGTATATGTTTTTGGTTGGATGTAGCATGACAATGGCGAGTTTTCTATTTGTTAGCGGGTGAATCATGTTGTGTGTGAATTGTTAGGTTTCAGCATAATGTTAAGGTTAAGTCAGTGGATACTAAATTGACAGGCAAACATTATACAGTCATACCTCTCTGATTTGATCCTCTATAACTTGATAATTCTCTAGTTTGATAGAAAACCCGGAGAACCAACTCCGTGAATAAGGATAATTTGATATTTGATACTTGATAAGGAAATTTTCAATATCAAGTTAACTTTTATTAATGAAAAAACGCATCCAATGTGGTTTGGATCACTTCCGATGCTTTGGAGGCGCACAACTTTGGAGGGTGCGTAGTACAGTATTGCATTGGACATGGGAAGGATTGCTGAGACTGAGAAGTTTCATTACTTCCGTCAAGTAAGATTACTTTTCTTTCGTGGTTTTCTGAGCGGGTCCGTGGCCTGATCTTCTTCTGGATCTTCTTGTCATGTTGATTCGTTGCTCATCATTTGCACCAACTCTTCATCCGTGAGGTCTTCAAGGGAGCTCTCTTCTTCGCCAGTAGGGTTAATGAAGTCTCTCACAGGGATTGGTGCGGCAACGCCCATAGCTTGTATGCCGGCAGCGATCTCATGCTCAATAGCATCTGCTTCCACATCAGTGACATCCCCATTCTCATGAGCCTGTGGAGTGGCTTGGAGTGCATTCATAACCTGATTTAAGTGAGATATCGTGTGCAGAGGTCTACCTACCATAGCATGCCAAAAGCAATTGTGGATGGTAACAGGAATGATTTCATTCCAAGCTGCTTTTGCCCGATCCCATAGCTGTTAATTGGTTCACTTTGTAAAGATCAGTGCCGCCGGCTTCTTCAATGTCAATTGCTCGCTGGATGTAAAGTCTTTGATATTGCTGGAATGCAGCTATTATTACAGCGTCCATAGGTTGCAGCTTTGAAGTGGTATTTGGCGGCAAAAATAAGACCACGATGTTCTCAAGTTCCACAAAAATGTGACCTGGCGCGTTGTCCAAGAGTAGTAGAATTGACCTGTTGGCTTCTTTCATCTTGGCGTCAAAATTCTTCAACCATTCCTGGAAAAGCACCCCAGTCATCCATGCCTTTTTGTTGTTCCGGTACAAGAACTCCAGTTGTGAAGCCGTCTTCTTCTTAAAGCATCTCGGATGCTTGGCGTGGCCAATGAAAAAGTGCTCTAGTTTGTGTGATCCGTCTGTGTTGGCTATAAACGCTATTGTGAATCTTTTCTTGCTCTTTTTAAGACCTTCAAGCTGATACTCAATCATTGTCCGATCCGGTGCGTATTCATAAAAGAGCTCGGTTTCGTCCATATTGTAGACGTTCGCAGGCTGAAACGATGCAACCTTCTGTTGTATCTCCTCAAGGTTGGTAGCCACAGCCTGCATGTCAACAAAGCCGCTCTCTCCATTCATCTTCACTAAGTGAAGATGATTGCGGGAAAGAAACTTTTGCAGCCAGCCGATGGAAAACTCGGTAGCTCCTAAGTTCAGTAGTGTTGCAAGCTGGTTTGCCTTCTCGATGATCTTAGCATAAGTGATTGCGACCTTCTTGTGCTGGCATTAAAGTACCTAGTTAGATAGCGCTTCTTCCACTTGCGGAAACTTGACCTTCCTTAGGCGCTTGTTTTGCAGTTCTGCGCCGCTCATACTCTCGAAGGTTCTTCTCTTGTTGAGAACATTTGAGATGGTGGACTGCGAGGGCAGTTTCTGAAGCTTGAAGCTGTTCATGGCCCCATTCTCGCAGCTTGACTTGCTTCAGAGAGGTATTCTCCAAGCTATATTGGCAAAGTTGAAGCTTCTGTTCATTGTTCATGATGAAGATTTTGGATCGCGGAGTGCTGCGGCCCTGAGTGCGACGGCGTTGCGGGGCCGATGCGAAACCTGGCCACGGCGAAACAATGACACACAATCACGGTAGTTCGGAGTTTCATTTTCTAGTGTAGCTCCTTAACTTGATACCTCTCTAATTTGATCAAAAATCGGGGAACGGACCGTATCAAGTTAGAGAGGTATGACTGTATGATAAAACTTTAGTGTCAATATGTTTGTAGGATAGTTTGTTTTTGTTGTTGTAGACGTAGTATTTTTTTGTCAATTATAATTAAAAGTTAATACGGCCAAAGCAATTTGACCGTATTATTGAGGTGTGAGTAGAGAATGGAGCAATTTTTTTGAAAAATTCAAAAAGAATCAAACAAATCGAGTACAATTTTAGTTGAGTGCATAGAAAGATTTGTTTTGACTCTCAAATGCATAAACAAATTGTCATTCATTGTTGATAATGAAAGCTTGTTTAATCTTTGCATAGACACAATTGCATATAGATTCAAAAATACCAAAGCTTCCAAACGTTTTATTCAAGTGGCAAAAATCTCAAGCTCATTTTGCATGTACATCCTCATTAGTGTAGTATTGATGACAAAAATTTGACTGTAATAGTAGACTATTGGACTTCTTGTTGAGATTCAAGCAAACATATACTTGTTTTTGTACGATATAGTTGTATATCATATGACATCACAAGCAAGTTAGAGTTGGTCTTGAACTTTCATAACCTTTACAATACTGCCGTAGCTAGTATTTTGCTACTCGTGGCTAGAAAAATTATCAAATTGGTATCAATTTATGAGGTTTTTTTTCATCAATAATTTTCATTTTAGCTGAAGTTTATGGAAAGAGATGATTTAGAGTCATAAATTGCTACAACATTTAATGACCTTTTGTCAACATCTGTGCAATGTATCTATTTTGGTCGGATTTGCAACTTTAAAGAGATTTGCATGGGGTTTCGAGATAATCTGCCTGCCAAGTTGGTGCCATATTTTGACAAGTATTACGAGTTATAAATTTCTCAGTTATAAATTTCATTAACTCATAAATTTCATTTCATTTCTCAGTTATAAATTTCTCTCCTTCTGACTACGCCAAGATTACTACATCCATATGCTCAAGCAAAATAGCATACAGAGTTAAACCTCCCAATAGTGTCACCTTGTATGAGTGACATACTCTCATTAGTGACGTAAAATTCCAGAACCATTACTTTATAACTTGTAAATCTGCTCAATAATAACAGTACGTCACTATTTCGAATAGTGACATGATATTTTTCAATAGTGACAATTTCAAGTGTAATTTGGGAGTAAAAATTTATATCATGATCACAATACATAGCTATGAGACTTAAAAAAATGTGGCATAAGTTTATTTCAAGGTATAGCTCAACAATTAACTCTTTTTGGGCTTTAGTAAAATAGTTTGTTACGTATATTACCATCAATTTTTTCACTCAGAATTTTATGTAATAGTATAAATTTTAATATAATTACAATGTCTATGTTAATTGTCGAGAACAATGCAGATGTGCAAATGAAGACGATTTTGAAACCAAACAACACATTTAAAGTCTGTCCGAGGATTGATGTAATTTAGAATAAGAAATCTATGAGTTTTTTTTCTAAGATTTGACATCTCCCAATAGTGACATCTAAACCAAACACCAATGTATGTTACTATTAGGAGATAATACTAAAATTACGCAACTCCCAACAATGACATCCAATTCTAACACCAATGTATGTTACTGTTAGGAGTTTATACACTCTTTAATTTTGTGAGTGACATAAAACCCAAATACCAATATATGTCACTATTGAGAGGTTTAACACTGTATCATATTACTATACTTTTCTCCACGTAGAAAAAAAAACAATAAAAATTTAATGAGAATCACATGGTACTTCGCACCAAATCACTAGAACATCTCTAGATGTACTTTTGGAATATGGCACCAGGATTGCATTTATTACATTCCACATAACACTGCGTAGACGCCAAGTAAAAAGTACTAGACTTCGTTTTAGTACTTTTGACTGTGTCTTGTAAAACAAGAGAGTACCAAAATTGAAAATGAGACAGTTCTAGTTCGTGCAGACACGAGATCTCAATAACAGAACTAAACCCTCGCTTTTGTAAAGACCCCCTAAGTCATAACCTGCAAAAAGCTTGCCATATGCTAGACTACATACATATTCACTATGCACTCTAATAAAGAGTGTCATTGTTTCAGACTTAAAGACCGGCCACATTTTGTCGAGTTCTAACACAAGCGGTCACCAAGAAGTTTACACACTTTTATCTTCTTACTCAACATGGTCAATTTGCCATGATATAGTGATAACCTCATGGATCATCATAATGCACAACGTGATACGTTTAATTGTCAAACTCTTTTTACTTTATGCATATGGGAGGGACTAGTTATCACTCACTTTGGGTTAATTAGCCCTCGGCCCGACCAGGATTCGTCAAAGTTACAGGCAAGTAGAATTCAATTGATGGTTCTTCTAACGCGTTCTTGGTACTCTCCGTGGCATTCGTGACCCATTGCCACGAATACAACCTAGATTTATATTTGACAGGTTCGTGGCCAGTTTCGTGTCACCTGACTTGGAACGTATCTGGAATCTCACCGCCCTCCGAGAAGTAGAAAGCTCAGGCACAAGCAAAGTTGTCGAGAAGAGGGCTTCTTCCATCTCGAGTTCTCAGCACCTCCGAACTTGGAAGGCTGGAGGGAGCGAGTCCCCTGCATCCTGGCGAAGTAGGAAGGGAGAAAACTCGATCGCAGCACAAGCCTCTGCCTTACATCCACAGTACTGCCAAAACCAGCAGCTGATTCCACCCGCCAGCTGAGCGTATTCATCACAGCCGTGGCCCCCACGGCGGTCGCCATATTGCATCCCACCAAATCCACCTGATCTCATGCGAATCATAAGTCCAAAGCAGAATTTCACTCAAGTCGCCAACTTGCTTGAGAAACTAGCAGCGCCCAGCTGGGCTGCCTCTGCAGATGACACAACCACTTCTAATCAATCGCATCGAACTATTCCTCCGGCCCAATGCTCTCAAATCCACGCAATGAGTTTTCCAATCGCGTACAGCAAATTCGAATTCAAATCGATAAGTCAAATTGAATCAACAACGAGTTGCCATTACAGAATGATATAGTCGGATTTACGATCCAGCTCACTCACCAGAGACGGATCCGAGGCGCGAACGATGAGGCGAAATCTTGCGCACAGTAGTCGCACAAGGCCTCGGGAGACCAGCGGCTGCACGGGGCCCGGATCGTGGGCCCACAGCTCCGGCTCTGGCAAACGCAACGAGAGTCCTTCTCGACCCCTCCCATCGTAGTAGTCGACAGCATGGCATCCACGTCGGCGGCGTTACAACCCGGAGAGGAACACGAAGGCTTTAGAAGAACCATCAATTGAATTCCACTGACCCTAGAAGTTTAGACGAATCGTCCAACACGTTAGACCAGGGCTAATTAGCCCAAAGTGAAGGATAACTAGCCCCTCCATGTTATTTATTGATTGTAATGAAAAGAGAAGTACTGGACCATGTAGCATAGCAAAGAGGATCGAGATATCGCCATGCCCAAGAGTGTGTATCATGGAGATAATCCAGATATACTTTAGCTCTCCGGTAGAATACGGTACCATAAAATGGAAACCAGAGACTTCAAACTCTTGCATGCCAACGAAAAGATGGATTGTTAAGCAACTCCAAGTACATATCTCTCTCCCGTTACACATACTAAAGATGTACATGTAGCCGCAATACATGTCATATTTTACGAGGTGAAGTTTAAGATTTTGTACTTTTTCTAGCGGAGAGAATTATTTAATGTGAACCTCGAGGAATGCAGAACACTTGCTGCGACCTAATAGATGAAATCCCCACTGCGATCTACAGTCTAATGTCACAGAGTTAGGTACCCTAAACATGACCGGATTTCAACGGGCGGTCTATAACTAAGAGTTGAATAGAGCTCCGTACAAGGGAGTTTTTGAAACTCACCAACGAGACATCTAGAAATGAGATGTATTTGAGAATAGAAATCTTTGGAAACGAAAATGTCATGTAAAATAACAAGTTTGCAAAGATTAAAAAATTTATACAAAAATATTCACGAATGTCAAGATGTAAATGATAATTTTTATTAAGAAACTAATTGTATTTCGTCACAACAATGATTTATAGTTCAAGATGAGAACATTTCAACCTCTTGACCGAAATACTCTAGTGATATTACCTTGGTCCTACACAGTAGTAGCTCCCCGCAGCACATTATAACTATCAAGTTACAAAATCTCGTATTCAACCCTCGTCAATGGTGGCTGTAGAGCTGCTGGTCTATCGGAATTGGGTAAAATGAATCGTGTTTTGCGTCCCATCAAGTAATTTTCTCTATGGAACGATCCCCGTAAAGTATAAGCACAACGACTGATCTCTAAGACAGCAAAATGAGGACATTGGGACATCCAGAGTAACTGTGAGCAGCCAATGGAGAGAATTGGCTGTCTAACGTAAAACCTGGATGTGGTCTTTGAACCTTCCCGAAATAAGTAAGAATGTCAAGGCTCTGGCACTTTCCATCCAAGATTCACGGCGGAAGCAAAGGTCTTCCGTTGATCAGTCTAATCTTCTCCTAGGTATGAAGTACGCAAAATCCGTAGCTCCTTAAGTGTGATATGCTCGATAGGTAGAAGGCTCGATAGAGGCAATACCAAGCGACAAGAAAATCAAGAAAAGATTTCAAGCGTGCTGAAAAGAATTAGGGCTACCGCAGAGTAGTACAACGTGAAGAATCTCTAAATCCTTACAGCGGAGTGAATGGACGTGTGTGCGACACCTCAAACTTACTCACTGCACTTTTCTCCATAACGGAAGAAAGATTTAACTGAAGTTACTACATGTGAAGTGTCAGGCATGTATATTTCAGTTACTTTATTTTACTAAATTTTAGTAAATTTTAGGTAAATTTCAGTTAGGCAGGCAATTTTTTTTCGAGAAATGAGATCATGTCAGTTGTCCCCGCGAGTTTGAGAGTTCCCCCTACATAAAGTGCTCGTCAAAAAAGTGTGCGCAAGTGCAATGTCTGAAGCATGGAACAAACATACGCAAGAACAAGGTCTCTCTAACCCACCTTCCACCGTCAGCCGGAGAGAGAAAGAATAAGCTGAAGTTCCTAAGACTTCCAGACAGGCAGGTAGGAAACTAGGCGTAGTGGTACAAGAAATCGATCATGGTAGATTTTTTTTATAAAAAAAGATCTTGTCGGTTGTCACCGTGACTTTCAGATCTAAACATGATACTCGTCAAAAAAGTGTGCCCAAGTCCCATGTCTTAAGCATGGGACAAACATGGTCAAGTACAGGGTCTCTTCTCTAACCCACCTTCCACCGTCAGCCAACAGTGAAAAAACTTTACACAGGCAAAGACAGTCCTTTGCATGGTGTCTCTACTCTGACGAATTGTTCGGGATCCTTTATCCTCTTTGAAATTCAAATATAATTCTCTCTGAAATTAAGTGTGATTCCGGATCCACCGAAGAGTGATTCGGATATGGAGGGAATTGTTCTCTCCCAGTGCAAAGCTTGTTGAAGCTTTACCGAGATTACAACAAGAAACTGACAATTGTACACCCTGAACTACACTAGTGGATTTGACAGGCTGACTCCGCTATTCCCGCGCAGTTCCAAGTCACCTGGAATTCTGCATGGTGAAACAAGAAGAAAGACGAAGAGATCACAACGTTCTCAGCCCAGTTCTCTCCTAAAGTTTCACAATTGGTTGATGTGGTGTGGTTGATAAGGCCATCACTTGTGGCAACCAGACACCGAAAGTCAGTCCAATACCAGCTCCATCGTAATCTTTGAGGAATTGTACAACACTAAAGCCGAACTACAAACCAGAGTGCTACGTGTGATTCCATCTCTTCGATCCTCCCAACAGCTCGTTGTTCAAAAATCTCTCCAGTAACTTGTGAAGCAGTCTTTGATCAAGTGGCTGAAGACAAGAGACGGATGTCAGTGACATTCACCAAGATTTCAAAGCAAGAAATGTAAGAGAATGCAACTATCAAATCATATCTCTGTGTACGATTGATTCGACATCCCGGAGCTAAGAGAGGGTGGTGAATTTGGCGAATGTAAATCATGCAGCATGACTTCAGCTCAGTCCAATGAAGACAGATCTAAGTGGATAGAAAGTCAAAATCAGGACAATGAAATACCTTGGGGATATAGTCATCCATTCCCGCACTAAGGCATAGATCCTGGGTTCCGTTCATAACATCAGCGGTCAGAGCAACTACTGGTATACGATTGTGTGGGCATTTTTTGATTTGCGTGATCTGTTCGTCCTGAACTCTGCAGCCAAACGAGCCAGATTCCAGATCGCCGGATCTACTTCTACTCCGTCTACGAGCATGCCTACAAATAATGCAGCTTTCAATCTCCCACTGCCTAATCCTCCTAGTGGCTTCATAACCGTCCATCTGCAAGTCAAAATGAAGCACAGTAGCGACTTTCAGATTAGCAGTATTTCAGTTTGAATACACAAATATAAAGAAGGTGTACACCGTGGGATGGACACTCTGACGGCTTCAGTAAAGTACGAAGTGTGCTGATTTGAACGCAGAGATTAGCAGACGAATCAATCAGCTGGTATGGTTTCAAGGAAGTTACCTCTGGCATCTGGATATCCATAAAAATAAGATCGAACTGCATGTCTGGCGCTTTGTTTCTCACAGAATTCATGGCTTCCTCCCCTCCACACACACATTCTACCGTTGCTCCGAGGCGATTCAACAATGCAGCGCATACTTTTCTATTCACAAGATTGTCATCCACCTAAAAGCAACAAACACAACAGACAGAAATCATCGCCTGACCTCACCACCACTTCAAATTTATCCCCGAAGTCAATTCTTAGACGGCAAGCCAGACATTAACGTCCAAGAGCAGTGAGCAGTTTAATACTAGCTGATATCAATCAAGGAATGTATTTTAGCATTCGTAATGTGTTCTTCATCCATCCGTCACACACATGCAGGCAGAGCAGAAACCAAAGTCAAAGCAGATTGAAACTTACCACTAACATCCTCTTATCAGCAAGCATTTTGGAGTTGGTATTCACATTCCTCGAAGGCGCATGCAGTTTGATTCCTAAAGCCTGCAGAAGTCCGGAAGCTAAAGTAGTGCGGCGGATTGGCTTGAACACTGTTTGAGTAACTCCAGCTTCAAGAACCTCCTTCATCTTCTCGGCACTTAAAGGCGTTGAGACGGCCAACACAGCAATTTTTTGCAGCTTGGGACTACGACGCAGAAATTTAACGAGTTCCAAGGCCATGTCGAACTGCATACCCTGCAAATCCAAAATGACTCCCTGAAATGGTGCTATGTCTTGCCTGTCAACACAAAGTTCCGAAGATTGAGCTGAAGTGCAGTAGTACGCACACCTATTATTCTGAATATAAATAACCGCACTGAATTCGTTTTAATTTGGTGGTGGTTAATGAGAACTGGAATCCACACAAAAGAACGCAGTAAGGTGCAAAATATCTACGTACTTATGAAGGAGCTCAAGGGCCGTTCTTTTATCGTCGGCACCTTCAACTTCAACTCCTAAACGGCGTAAGTAACTCGCAACAACTTCCTGCACAAATCCTAAAAATGCCCGTTAGCTCTGGGGATGTACCATTGGGACGTTAAGATGTATGGGAGGCTATTTATTCAATAAGTTCAGCATCACACAGATTCACGTTACCTGTCGAACGGGATGTTCGTCAACCAAGACAACCCTAGTTCCCTTCAGTTTCTCCTCCCCAAAGTCTGACCACTCGGCTTTGCTTTGTTCCAGCCTCTCGGCTCCTTTCGATTCAACCTTCAACGTGAACTCAAACACACTACCTTTACCCGGAGTACTGCTCACAGTAAGCTTTCCATTCATTAGTTCCACCAGTTTCTGCAAGACAACGAGGTCATCAGGTCAAAATCGCTAGAAGATTGACAAAGCTCATTTGCAAAGCTGTAAACAATTGGTAACGCTACTGGGAAAAATTTTGACTTACCTGTGAGATGGACAACCCAATCCCTGTCCCACCGAATTCTCGGGATGTGCTGCTATCTGCCTGATGGAAAGGTTGGAACAAACGATGTTGGAGATGCGAAGGAATACCAATGCCTGAGATCCCAAGTACAGTGTTTGATACGTCAGAAAAGCATGAGACAAAACCCATCGACTTAACGAAGCTCGAGGTACTGTGCTAGCAAACTTGTTCCTCTTTTACCATCCGTACTGAGTGAAAACTTGGAGGTATACAACAAGCAATCGTAAATACTAAAGAAGTGTTAAGAATCTCTATCGCACAATGATCTAATAGCCCTCATATTTGATCGAGTCCTCGAGTATTTAGTTACAGTCATCTGGCTATCTGATGTTTACCTGTGTCCTCGACCGACACTATCAGCTTCAGTGTTCCCTGGTCCGATGGTTTTAATTCACCACCCGCGAAACCTTCACATTTTGTGGGAGCCCTGGGAGTCCAATTCCTCCACCTTCTAACAGTTTCTTTATCACTAAAAGATACACGTTGCATACTAAGCCTAGGAGCCACATAATTTCTACACGCTCCGTTACATTCTCTTTCATCATATCCGCACCACTTTACATTGTTCTGGCCTACGTACCAATCGAAACTATGGCTCTCAAGGGAATCTTCAGGATGCTCAGTAACTTTGGTCAACGACATGGTTGACATTTTATCATCTCCGTCTCTAGAATCTACTGAGGATAGGCTGGAGCTACTGTGCGGGTCTACAACCCTTACGCAAACCATAATGCTCCCCTCTTTCGTAAACTGCAACATCAAAGCAACAGTACAATCGATCAGGCAACTGACTTGTTCCAATATTGATCATCAGATTAAATATTGACATACATATGACTTCTTTTGCAAGAGCCTTTTTAAGGCTCCGGCAAAAGGATCTCAAGCCACAGCTCCTCGTGGTTTACTCTTGCGTTAGCTAAAGTCCGTGAGTTCAGGGTAGAGTAATGTACCTTCATAGCATTTCCCACAAGGTTGATCAACACCTGTAGAACATACCGTACACGTTAAAGTTGTCCATCATGAGAAATATGTTCGAATAAAACACACAACTTTCAAGATGGAAATGACAAACAGCATTTTCTGAAAGTAATTTACAAACATTCTTATGTTGTAACACGCTTCTTCGCGAAGGTCACAAAATTTAATGTTGTCATAGTTTTGTTCACCTGTCGGAACCTTCCGTTGTCACCGAAGACGATTTTGGGCACAGCATCGTGTACAAGCGCAAGCACTTCGAGCTGCTTATTATGCACTTTGTCTTCGAACAAGCAGAGTACATCATCGAGCTCTACTCGGAGGTCAAACGCTACAGACTCCAGTTCCATCTTTCCAGCTTCTATCTTCGAAAGATCAAGGACCTCATTGATCAGGGATCTGTTATCCACATATCAAAACAGTTAAGATGAACTCTCGAGATCGATCGAGAAACTATGCATACCATCGAGAATAATCAGCCGCACAGTTTTGTGTGCAGAGAAGAAAAACCCTCGAGATCGTAAAATCTTCGATTAATACTTACACGAGGGCATTGCCACTGGCTTGCGCAATCTTCACATACTCCAGCTGTTGAGAAGTAAGCTCTGTTCCCATAAGCAGATTCGTCATACCTGTTAAGAAGAGAACGTCCCAAATAAGTTGAAATCCACAATTTGAGCTATGTATGTCCACATTTCATCAACAAACCTTCGGCATAGAAAACATTAGCCACAATGCACTTACCAATGACTCCATTCATAGGCGTTCTGCAACCACAGGCAAGCAACACACATAAAGATCAGTTGTTCCCCAAATCTGGATAAAAGTAGCTCAGGAAATAAGTTCCATAAACTTGCAGAGATCAACTATGCCTCTGACGTGCCCCCAATATTATCAAACAAAACATCTTCGCTTCTTCGGCATGAGAAGGAGAGTCCATAACCAGACAGCTGAGAACCCTTTACGCAAGAGTCCCGACATGTACCAAACTCAATGTTAGTGTAAGACAGGGGTTCAAAAATGGAAAACCACAACAAAAGATTTGCTCAGAGATGCTCTAGTTTCATTCGTATTTATATTCATGATCTAATATCTTCCACTCACAAGGAGGGCATTTTCGTCCATAGAGGGCACCAACTCAGTACAGACAGGGGGAAGCCAAAATTCTGGATTTTAGTTTATCAGTTCTTATTGTTGAAAGATCATTGACCGCTGTCTCTCTACAGACGCCTCTGCTTGTCCACATGGCCGCACTCCACGTAAGCAATATTGTTCCGGAACCACTTCTGCAGTACTGTAAGTTGGATGTGATCGAAGTATGTCACATAGAGGGCGACAATCCGTGGTAAAAAAGGAATGCCCCGTAGCGCAGTTGCCCCGTACAGTGTAGTATGTACGGGAATTACACAGTTCACGTGAAACCACCCAAAACACTAATTAACGGTACCTCCAGAGAAGACTCACTCCCTCTGAGTCTTCTCTGGAGGGTGACAGGTGATTACGTCAACTGCGCGAGGGCCGTGCCACCTGGACCGGCAGCACCAGCTGAACCACGGGGCGGGTCCGGGCGAGGACGACAATCGAGGGCACTCTAAAGCGTGCGGATTTGGTACAAGAGACTGATCCAAGAGAAAGACAAGGAACGGGCTCCCACGCTCTCCGAGAAGCACGTGCAGCAACTCTTGCGCTGCTGCACTTCGATCATCGACGTTCCCCATGCTGGCTGGCCGCGATTCCGGGTGTGCGAGGGTTGAGGCTTACTCTAGACCCGACCTGAGGGTCGTCTCGTCTTCGGAGTTGGACATTGTGAGTGTGAGATGAGGGTGAAGACCGCGGAAATTCGGGCTCAACCGAGATTTGGGAGGCGAGATCCATACTCGGCAACATGAGTTTCGGCATTTTCTCCGTGGAAGCTGGCGGGCTGATCGTGCTGGTCAGCTAGCATTCGGTCTCCGTGATGCAAGAGTCACAAATCACGATGATGCGGGGTAGACTGAGCAAGGACGTTCGGTTCCTCTGTGCGGTCAGTCGGGCTTGGCCCCTCGAAAACTCTGCTGAGATGCGCCCGTTTTGGAAGTCGTGAGGTCTCTGCCAACGAGCAGAATGCTCACGATCCGATGTCACGAGCTTGACCTCGAATTAACTCCCGGTGGACTGACCTTCGTTCGCCCCACAATAATCGATTTCCGTCTCTATTTTATTCCATCAATGGGGTGTGAATTGTGCGAAATATTCGATCTCTTTTCGTCGTGCGGGATCGAATCCTGCCAGGAATGAAATGATCTTATCCCCGGGAAGCGGACGGAGGAAAATACCTGATCTCATGAGACACGGTGGCGAGGAACCTTGATTTGGCACTGTCGGCAGATTCCGCGGCGAGCTTCGCCGCTCGCAGGTCGGCGTTCATCTTCTCAACATCGCTCACGTGCTTTTGAACGGCCTGCATTCTCCGGATGATCAGCCAGACGATGACGGTGCACAGCACGACGACGGTGAGCAGCAGCAGCGGCCAGCCGATCACGTTCTTCAGGGCGTGGATCTTGATGCTGTGCCGGGCGAAGCATCGGAGCTCGAAGCTCTGCAGCCCGTAAGTCCAAGGGATGGAGGCCGTGCTGCTGTGTCCGACCTTCTGGGCCGGATCGTAGACCGGCATTTCGCAGACGGGCCTGTCGAACGAGCAGTTATAGCTGGGAAGCCAGTCCTGCCGGTCCTTCGTGGTGAAGATCACAGCCACGTCCATGCTCACATCGTCCTGGTACCGCCTGAGCACAGCTGCGAACACCTTCTCGACCTCGAGCGACACTCCGATCCAGCCTTGAATGGTCTCGCGTCGCTCCGCCACCGTGGAGGGCTTGGCGTCCCCATAGTAGGGCAGATAGTTGCCCACCCGCCAGACGCCGCCCACGGAATTGTCCGGGGGCGACATGGCCATGGTGCCGAAGTCGCGCGCGTTCGACACGGACCGGTTGACGACGGGGAATGTGGTGAAATCCATCATCAGAAACTGCGCCGTCTCGAAGGAAGCCAGGACGATGGGTGCATACTCCGGCGCCTCCACTCTCCTCGTCACAGTCAGATTCTCGTCTATCTGCAAAATACTCGCGTTCACCTTCTTCTCGAACGCAGCCCTCTCGTCGTGCTTCACCCTCTTCAGCCATGCTATCCGCGGCGAATTCGGCCGAAGGAAAAACGTCTTGTTCGTAAAGTAGAGCCAAGTACTTTGCTTCAAATCCGGCTCGTTCGCCAGCAGTCCGAGTATCATGAACGAAGTATTGAGATTGTTTGCCAGTTCCGCTTTTACAATCTGCACAAACCGGTGGCACCACACACATACGCTTCAAATCAGAGATATCCGTGTACACGTCTCATACTCGTCCACGTCCATGGGGCCCCTCACTCACCTCGTACAAACGAGGTTGAGTTGGGCACCACAGCGACGTCACCCAAATACAAAGGGCACAACGAGAGACAGCTCTCGTCTTCCTTTCGTGGGACATTCTCGAGCGGTGAATAATACATCCCCCGAGCCAGCCTGCGAGCCTCGGTCAATGCGATCAGCTTTCGTTTGTCCCTATGAGCGAATGTAGGGGACCTATTATTACTGACATCACCTGGCCTGGGTAATGATTGAGTAGCGCAGCGGCAGTGGCGATGGAGCACGACAGCGCAACACCCCGTGGCAGTGGAAAGATGATGCGAGGTTGCAACAAGGCATAGATTGTTCTCAGGCTCTGCGGAGGTTCAGCTTGCCCACCCATGCACGAGGCTTGGGTACGGAGCTCGTGAGTCCCATCGCGATCACATCACACTGCCAGGATGAGTCTAACCGCCCGTCGTCAACGTCACTACGAGACAGCATTGGCTGGCTGGCGGTCGGTCGGTCAATGTTCGTACTTTGACGATAAAATTTCGTAATCTGCCCGGTGCGAATATTTGTCTCCAGCAGGCTGACCATGCTGTACAACCGATAGTTGTTACGAGTATGAAGGAGGCGCGCTCGCTCACAAGGTAAAGAATCATTATTGTCACAATCCAGTGCAAGCTCCCTCACCATTAGAGCCAACCTGCATGCAGTAATAAGTGCTCCCTCTTCACTGCTCACTTTCTCGTCAGCTGCAGCCTCGGCGAGGGAATGTTCTCGCGAGAAGATAATCGCCCAAACCTGTCAGAGATCAACCCCCGGATCGCGATCTTCTGCTTCCATTGAACGGCCCCCGAAGATTCGTTCGTACGGGACGGATGAACGTAGAGAAATAATTCTCGAACGGCTGCTATGAATGACGAGGAGAAGCCTGCGCTCCGAGGTTCGCTTCTGCTCGGCATGAAGACAAGTTTTCCAGCTTCTCAGTCTGTCCGCTGGTGGCTGCATCTGAGCACGACATGTTTGCTTACAGAATGAACTGTGGTACGAGTCTCAAGCTCTTCCAATTCGGGAGTCCAGGGTGGCAAATAGCTGCGAGGAAGTGCCACCTCCTTCTGCATGTAAAGCCAACATCCCATCGGGATCGAGGCAAATATCGCAGTCGGGAGGCGGAGGTTCAGAGTGGAGGAGTGAGAGAGTGAGTGAGAAATTGATGAAAACGCGAGCGGAAGAAGGCTTACCTCTTGTCGATTGGTGCACTTAAGCTTGAATTCCTGCATCTGGGACTGGAGGGAAATGTTGAAGAGTACCAGGCCCACCCCCACGGCTGCTACAACTCCCAAAGCTGTAAAAGCAATCTGCATGGCTAGCACCCTCGCGGGGCTCCAGCTCACATGCTTCCACGAACCCATCCACCTGCAAAAACTTCGTGTCGCTCGAACGGCGCATTGGCAAACGTGTGCCATAAGTGCCCAACCACAGTTTTCTCCTCCCCGGGGCATTCCTGCTAATGCAATCTGTGTTGCCTATCGTTCCACGGCCCGAAACGCCGCCTGTGGCTCCATCTCCGCATCTTCTTCGCCCCTAGATCACCCGTGTCAAGCTTCACGCAACCCCGGATTACTCCTCACTCACCACAATACTGGCATCACAGCGAATCTTCCATGTCTCCATCTTCTCGAGCTCCAGACATTCTCGTGTCCGCCCGTGCAACTCGTGCAAGAAATCTCTCGTTGCCCCAGCATCGGTACGCGTCTAATCCTACAAATTTACGTGCACTGCCCATCTTCTTCTTCTGCTCCACCCTCTCTCTCGAGCTGGAGCACTCCCGGCTCCTGATCCTCCACTACGACGTCACAGTCCCGTTCATCCTGTCCTGGCAGACTCCTCGGCGAATTGCCGGCCCTCTAATCCCAAACTACTTGCGTCTCTTTCCTCTTCCGCTCTTGCACTCGACCCCGTCACAGATGGAGGTGGAAGAGGAAGAGGAAGAGGGGAACGAGGCGAGCAAACCATCCTGTACCCAAGTCCACGGCCTGTGCCTCCCACCCCCACTTACCCAAACCCGAGGAGGTCCCCCCAGGCTGAAGGTCCGGGGCCATGGAATCGAACTCGTACCAAACAATTCAATTACAACCCCGACCCCGGGAACTGAAGAGCGAAACCACTCTGGTGGCGGACGGCGGACAGACCTCAGACAATTCAGGAGCTGATATGCACTGCAAGCAAAATAGACGGACAGACAGACAACAGACAGACCAGACAAAGTGGTGGCGGGGAGAAGAACCGGGGTGGACAGTGGGTGGGGAGAGGAGTTCGCGAGTTGCAATGGCGAAAGATCCAGTTCTGCGCAAAGCCAATGGCTGCACCCACTGCACCCTCGGCCCCGTCCTCCTGCGAGCCCAACAGAGACCATAAACATCGCACAAAACTCCGCGCCTCGCCCCTCTCTGCTCTGCCGCTCCACATCTTTCCCCAATTTGGCCCAATGCGCAAAGCGTGCCTCTATTTTACAACTCTGATACTATTTTTGACTGGGTTTATAATCCGACCAATTGTATTCTTTGTGTGTATACCTTCCCCGTACTCCCCACAAGTCAAGTCCTGATCAGACCTGCAACTGACTGCAACTACCTCGTGTCATGTTTCGCTCCACATTATCAACTTTGTCATTTCATTTTGGAACCAGGGAAGTGTACATTTATTAGATAGTATTGATTCTAAAAGGGGATGGCAATGTGGAGTGTATCTTGATTGCGATGCATATTTAGGGCCCCATATTTATTAGCAATTTTTATTAATTATACGAATTTTAGGAGACTGTGAGATCCCCCAGGAGAATAGGACATCGTCTTGGAAAGGTGACAAATGTCTTAAAGCCGAATGGAATTCTTCTCTACACATGATCCAGGTCAATGGATTAAAATTGAGTTTCCCAGTCATACTCTTCACCTCTGATTAATGTTAGTTCTGATTATTACATGTGTCAACACTATAGTACTGAGACGATGGTTGGTTCCACATGAGTCGGGTTCCATATAGCTTGATTAGGGCATATTTTATAACCTGTTAGTGTTGAATTCCTCTTTTCTCTTTTTTCGGCCCAGATTTGTAACTGGTAAGGAAATTTTTCCTGCTCAATATCTAAAGCCTAGTTTTTACATCAAAATTTTTCATTTTGAAGTCAAAATATACAGATTCCAATTATATCTATTTTATTTTATTTTCCACTACACTAAAGAAATTATATCAAATTGAGATACACGACTTTTTTAGCCAAAAATAATGATCTTGCGTGTAAGCTTGAGTCAATTCATAAATTTCCATAGTCACCTGGAGCATTAAAGAGAAAATGAGATTCTTCTAAAAAATTCACAGGCCAACTTAACCTCATTATCTTTGCTCCTTAATGAACTTATTCGACGCCTCCCTATATGTACATTTCAGCCTTCGTTAAACCCAAAAGATAAGACCTAGAAACCTTTGACCATCATCCTTTTTAGAGATACACGTTTGGGATACAAAACTTGTACCGATCAGAATTTTAGTTCAAAGTAATTAGTAATTATCATGCTATGTATTTGAAGAAAATTCAATCGTATATTTACTTTGAAAATGTTCTAAACAATTCTTACATGATGCTGGCTCACTACACAAGCACCGCCAATTCACAAGCTAGCTCTGTAAGAGCTAAAACCCCTCAACGGAGGGTGGTGCATAAATTAAATATAGGAAGGAAGTGGGATAATTCAGTAATGCATTCCTCAACAAATGGTAGATTCCTCTACAGTTACACGACAAGAAGTCGATGTTTTAATAACACGTTCTTCTATTTAGCATCATCAAGACAATATTCAATACGGAAATTTTACTCTACAGAATGCCACATGGGTCGAGTATCCCAACACAAGTACTTCGCAAAAGGGAGTAACTGTATGATGTGTCAACTAAAATGATCCCAGACCTTTGATCATTGAACCTGCATTTGACATGATATCTTAATGATCAAATGCACGATGTAACTGCATCTTCAACTCGATCAGTTCATGTAACGAGGAACTCGACGGAGCTAGTCATGAGCCCAAAAATTCATGCTGAAAGTGTGTATGTGTACTTAAATTTTGACACATTGCCTTCTCTATCCACTTCTTTCTAATCAATTCGAAGAGATAGACAACCTTTTAGATCAAGAGTTTTTTAAAATAAGATTAAATTCAAATATATAATAATCTTTCAACTGTCAATAAGTCTCATATGAATTTAAGTAGAAATAACAGATTTCTATTCATGATTATCACATATCAACATTAACTTTAATCTCGAAATGATTTAATTTGGTAGGATTTGAAAGTAGATATGTAAGTGCTATTCAAGCTTAGAAATAGGCAGTAAGTTAAAACGGATCAATATTATGGTTATTGTATCAAAAATGGTTCATAAATTAAATCCGAGAAAAAAAATATTATTTCAAGATGTTTCTTAAAAGCAACATTACAATTTCTGGAATATCTAATCATTTATGAAAATTTTCATATATTATAAATAAAAATTGTATAAAAAATACAATTAAAAATCCAATGCTTGGTTCAAGAAGAAATGTAAACCACAAGTAATATGAAATAAGAAAAATAAAAATTGCATTTTGATATGAAAAACATACACGTTCTTTTATTTAAATAATAGTTTTATATTTCAGTTGTAAATCAATTGGAGTTTCATTGCATATTGTAGTAGTATTTCAGAAATGAATACATATGACTTCACATTCTGTAACTGAAGTTCTTGCTTAAGCACATATGAAAATTTATAGTTCAATGTTTTATTTGTTAATATCATGTAAAAATATCAATAAAATTGTTCATTACAAACATTTAATACAATATTTTTTAATTAAAAATATACAGTCATATCATAGTCTCATTTCTTGAGGCTTTTTTAGATTGAACCTCAAGATCTTTCTTTTCTATTCAATATATTTAATTATTGTAATTATATCTTAAAATTGAACATGATAATTATATTTAAGATAAAAATCATTATATTTATGTATGAAACAAATATTGCTCACAAATGCTTTATAGCTAGTATTTATACTAAAACGTATACATTGTGCATTATTTTACTGAAAAAATAAGAATGTATGTTCAATTATATATTTTTAAAATTAATTTTAGTATTACCTATAATTTACATTTATATTTCTTTTGATATCAAATAATTATGATTTATATGAAAGAATGTAATATTTTCAGTTTCAAAATCATTAAAATCATTTTAATAATCTATCACATTAACAATTTATATCATTTATGTGATAATTATGTATTTCAAATTTTAATGTTTGTATGAAATATAATTTCATATATTTAATTTAAATATTTATATAAATAAAAAAACAGAATTTCAACAATTATACAATGTTAAATAATTTAATAATTTATACTTTTTTTTTCTATTTCAAAATTGAATTTTCAGTAAGCTGTATATCGATTGAAAATTACTTGTGAGATTTTGATAGTGACTGTTGGTTTTCAAAAGTGGAAATAATTTTTTTGGATTGAAATTGTGAATGATAGCAATACTTTGTTTTTAAGCATTTCCAAGTTTTGATATTCATGTCATATCATTATAATTAATTATTAACTGGACACCATGCTTGGTATATTAAATAGCCAATTACATTACCAATTGAGAATCCAGCAAACGAATAACAAGTATTTCTAAGAACTACTTGGCATTCCATAATTCTCGTCTTCGTTTTGGAAACCATCATAGATCATAACTAGTAGACGAAGCTCACATGTGAATTATGCCTCTAATATCATCAGAAAGCCATGTTTGAAGGGCTTATCATGAAAAAATGACGAAGAGGCATATTCTTAAAAGGTGTTACATGATATGATAACTTTTTTGTCGATATATGGAGATCAAAAGTGTTTGTTTTTTCAATCAATGAGTGATAAAGCGAGATCAAAATGAACTACGAATGAGAATTATGATTTTGGAGTTGAGATTCTGATAATCTCAATTAGAAAAAGCTCAACGCAAACCTATCTGGCTCAATACATTTCATCAGTGAAAGCAAGACATATGAAAAGCTAATATCATATAAACCTCTAAGGACATAACGATTAATAATATAGGATGATGAATTTGTGAAAGCTTGAGCTCTTTAAGTTCAATTTTCACATTTTAGCAAAAGAGTGCATGTTCTTAACATTCATGATCAAGAAGATGAAAACAGCTTGTAAATTAAAACTTACAGTGAAAGTTGAAACCTGATACTTTTGAAAGCTTTGACCGAAACAAAACGACTTACTATCTTATATTGTTGAACATGACCGATAATATTGGATTTGTTTTGGCTAGAACTTTGTTCTACTAATGTCAATATTTGATAGTAGAGCAAAGTGAGTTGAGCCTTCAATTCATTTGGATTGCAATGAATTTTATTTTGTTCATGATATCTGTGAACCTGATTTCACAGCATTGCATATTGGAGATTGTTGAAACTGGATGATGTGCGGAAGAAATTCATGTGTTTATATTAAGATCTTAAAACGAAATACAAGATACGAGTGGAGTTCTTATTTAGTCTATTCAAGACAGCGCTCGAACAGGAAATTTAACACTAAGTTATTCGTGATTATCTAAGCAACTTGAACAATACTATGATTTGCGCGTAAGAAATAACTAAATTTTATCAAAAGGGTGTAGAGGCATCCATTTAAAAATTCTATACCTTACATATTGCCTAGAGAGTCAAGTAATAGAACGAGGGGAGCGAACTCTATTCCATGAGCTATAAAGAGGATAGAGCGGCACTCTAACATTTAATAGTGTTAGGGTTCATATAGAAGTAGAATAATTATATTTTGGTTGGACATTTTTTGGGGAGTACATGCTACTGAATTTTCTTTATTATCACCAATAAAGACTTTTGTTGGAAACTTCCTGATCCGAACGGAGAAACGTCCAGCCCATTCCGATGGGCCATCGTGTTCATGCGTGGAGGTCCATCAATATAATCTCTTTTTTTAAATAAATGAATTAGTAATAAAAAATTTGGTTATCATTCGCAGAAAAACATAACATTTGAGTTCTGAGCCACTTGAAAATCTATTTGTCAGACTTTTACTCAATTACTATATTAAGCAGAGCCTGGAGTTGTGGTATGGGAACGACTTCACGCCATGCAGAAAAATTTGTGA